AGAAGAGGGAGGAGAGTATTTAACACAGTACCAGGCTCAGGGCCGTATCCTGGAGCAGGGAACACTGGGGGCTGAGCCCACATCCTAGAAGAAGAATCTGAGAACTCAACTGGAAAAAAAGTTTTTTTATTGAACTCATTTTGAGCATCTGGTACTTGGTTTGAAGATAGTGTAATATGTACAGTCTGCTGTATATAAACATATACAAACATCATGTGATTTAACCCATAAATATCAGAACAAGAGATTATGAAAAATAACCTTTGGAAGGAAATGATTTTCCCTCCTGGATGAAACAAAGAGGAGTGATAGAAACAGCTTCACATTCTTGCTGGTACTATAAAAAAGAAATCACTGGCTTGTGTTCATTCCATTGTTTTCTTACACCCTGCATGCATCTTAAAAATATAGACCAATAAAACCTACAGATAACAGCTAAATTACTTTTTTAGCTTCTAGCTTCTACTTTTTGAACCCCGAAAAACAAGAAATTAAATAAATATTCAGGCTGACTAAAACATTTTTTTTTCTTATAGCTAAACTGAGGCTGATGCAGCATCTAGAGAGGTCTTTATTTATAGACAGGTACATAAATTAGTTATTTTAACTGTAGAGGCTAAGCCAAAGCTTTAAGCACCCTGAGGTAAAGTTCACATGCTGATTACTTAGCCGCTTAATTGAAATGAAAGCCGTCCTTAATTTATTATTTTTTTTTTTTTGATTTTACATACCGTACTCTAATAATCCCAGAGGGAAATTACTTCTCTGCATTTAACCCATCCCCTTGGGGAGCAGTGGGCTGCCATTGTGAGGCTCCCGGGGAGCAGTGTGGGGTTAAGGGTCTTGCTCAGGGACCCAGAGTGGCAGTCTGGGGGAGTGGGGGATCGACTCCTAATCTCAGGATTCAAAGTCCTATGCCCTAACCACTTCCCATGATGTTAGTGCAGGTAGTCCATTTATTTCCATGACTCGGCAATGTTGTTGACAATAACACCGCACACATAGTTTCAGGGATCCACATAGCTTTCACTTCAATAGCGGTAGCATTGCGTCACGTTAGTATTGCGTTGCGGTCACAAACTGTTTCCCCCTTTTGGGTGGAACACACCTGTACTCATCAACACCGGATCATACTTATATAGACAGCTGACAGATCATGTGACCCAAACCATTTGGAATACAGAAATTCATAATCTGCTCCTACACACCGGCCCCTAATTGTTATGGCAGGCAGACTTAACAATTATAAACAATAACAATAGGAGCAAATGAATGCATAACTGTTGATTTACTCCCCCTGTATCAAACAAAGTTTGGTAACAGGTCTTTCAATAATATTGTTCTTTGTCTGCGGTTTTACAGATCGCACCATGCCTTTTTTATTAGAGAAAACCGATATTACTTTAGCAAGAGGCCAGGAGCCACGTGGGGCAGGCGAATCCATGATGACGACGACATCTCCAGATTTCTAATTTTGTTTCTGTTGATTCCACTTCTGTCTTTCTTGCAATAGGGGCAAATACTCCTTGATCCAGCGTTTCCAAAATAAATCTGAGATGTATTGAACTTGCCTCCAACAACGCTTCACATACGTATCTGACAGTTCAAACAGCCCAGGTGGTAAGGCAGGTTTTCCTTTTAGTAGCAGTAGATGATTTGGTGTGAGAGGTTCCAAGTCATTTGGCTCATCTGATAGCCTTGTNCTGTGGCTCCCGTCCGCTCCGCTCTGAGTTCCTTGGAGATCATAGATAGCATGTGCGAGATGATTAAATTCAAAGCAGCAAAACATGCAGAAATGATCCAGGGTTTCTGCGGATCATTAAAAATAAATACAATTCATAATTTTTTTTTTTCATTATATTCATTAATTTTTATGGGATTTCGGGGTAACAATCAACATATACCAAACCGAACCGAAAACCGTGACTACGAAACCGTGAACCGAACCGTGGATTTTGTGAACCGTTCCACCCCTACTATTGATCACAACTGATCAGCTGATTGGAGAAATTACAACATCAGATTTAAACCACTGACCTTTGACCTTTAGATGAACTTGTTTCCTCGTCAGGATATTTCCCTCCTTGCTGTAGACGCTGCAGGTGAAGGTCCCACTGTCTCCATCTGTTGGGTATCTCAGAGTCAGACTGAGGTCTCCAGTTCTCAGCAGGTCTTCATTCATCTTGGTTCTGGTTCTGTAGATCTGGTCCTGTTCTTCAGGCTGATCAGAACCGTTCTCAAACACATGGACCTTCCTGTCCCTCCTGTCCATCCGGCTTATCCAGCCCACCCTGCTCATCCACTCCACTCTAGCATCTCCAGGCAGGTTCTCTCTGGTTCTCCAGGGCAGCAGGACAGACTCCTCCCCCTCCTCCACCTCCACCTGTGGGACTGAGAGACAACAAAGGACAGGATGAGTTGGACAGACAGCAGCAGCAGCTCTGAGGACATTTTCTCTGATTGGATGAAGGTCCAACATGTTGGACTGGTTCCAGTCTGAAATGTGTCCATGTCTCCAGTGAACAGAGACAGTGTTGTCTTTGCTGTGGGTCCAATCAGCAGCAG